TGCACAGGAAAAGTTCCTGTTACTTTGCACACATAGAAGATCCTTACCTAACTCTGTCTATCTCACGTTCTTTCACTCTTTGAAGTTCATCTTACTTGCTACCTATAACAACCACTCCTGCCAGTGCTACTTATGCTGACTCTTCCATGCCTGAGCACTTCTTATCGATTTCCCACACGAAACTACTTGTCGCTGAGTAATTTTATTTTCATGTTGCCTTTTAGTTGTTTGATAGGTGGAAGTCTTATTCTCTGCACTAAATTGTTACTTCCATGGGAGAAGTGACACAATCTTTAAGGATGTCCAAATGAGATCAATGTACACAAGACAGATAAAGACATTATTTTGGCCATCTTAGACACAGCATAACTCAGGGTCCCTTCTCCCACCCCCCTATCTCCAATTGTGTCTAACACAGAACTGAGCATAGAGAAATCTCTACTAAATACATGCTTTATACAACTGAAAACTCTTGCCTTTTTTAGGTCATGATGACAGAATGGAAAACATTCAACTGATTATTTAATCAAGAATTTTTATCTGAAAATTTGAAGTGCCTGCCCAGTGAACCTGATGTACTGGGATAAATAAGCACAACTGAAAAGGAACACACAGCTAGCCAGAGACAAAATGGAAAAATACCAGGCTAGTCAAGAACCATTTTCAAGTTCTCTGTTTCCTTCACTGACCAAAGAGTTTATTCCATCTAATCAAAGAAGCAGTTGAATGCCAGTGATTTTTTTTTCCTACCTGCTGGAAGCAAAAGCTAAGACTACCATCTTAGAAGCCTACATGTACATATTTGAAATTTCTTCTTAGTTTAGCACAGAACAATTATCATTTCTACCTATCAGTTGTTTGGAGGGAGTATTTTCATGTTAAGTCAGAGATTAAGTATAACATTTAATTTAATTTTCAGCTTCCTATTTCCTTTAAAGCCTTGAAACAGAAATTACCTTTATTAAAGTATGAGCTGAAAGTCACAACAAAATGTAGTGGCAGCGTTAGAAATTCAAGTGTTAAAAAAAGATAAAAAGAGAATGTCAAAAGGTAAGAATTCATTTCCACTTCTGAGAATTAAAGCAAGTTGCCAATAAACTAAAATGTAACTGGTAATAACGTGATGAATATTTAAAGGGGGTATAGCAGTTGCTTGTTAATAAAGTTGGAGGATTCAGAGAAACATCTTTTTTTTATTATACAATAAATGTGTGCTTATTATAGAAAAACTAGAAAAAAACTGAAGAGAAAGGAAAAGGGAAGAAATATTAAGAAATCACCTAGGGAACCAGCAGTTAGCGTAATGGCTATGTCACTGGACTCCCATGTAGTCGACCGCAGTTCGCGTCCTGGACCCGGTGGCTTAAAACTCACGCCAGGCGCGTGTGCTTGCGTGCCAAGATCCCGAGAGGAGAATGGAGAAGGGATTGCGGCGTGGCCATCCCCCCTGGGGGGTGATTTCTCGCTTTTTGTCTCTATGTCTCTCTCTGTCTGGCGAGCGCACGCGCCCTATAGCAAAAACCTCTCAAAAAAAAAAAAAAAAAAAAAGAAATCACCTAAGAACACACTGCCCTAGAAGGGAAGAGCAACTGTTGACACCTGAGGGTGTAACCATTAACAACACACCAGCCAGCATGTAGTGTGCTAAGACACTGTTCCATAGAGTGGGACCAAATAAGAGGTCTGGATTTCATTTCAGCACAACGTAAAGTCTGGGGATGATGATGTGTACCCGTAATCCCAAGAACTCAGAAGTCTGACGCAGGAACATTGTGAGTTCAAGGTTGGTCTGGTAACATAGTGACACACTGTCTATAGAGGGAGGGAAGGAGGGAAAGGGAGGGGACCATTGTGTATGCTGTAAAGATGTACAATGATTAAATGTAAATAAGAAATAATAACATAAAATTTAAAATTTAAAAACAATAAAGAGCCAAGTGTGGTGGCATGCACCTGTAGTTGCAGCTACTTGGGAGGTGGAGGCAGGAAGCTCACAACATATTGAGATACTGGGTCAAAAAAGGCATAAATAAACTACATGGGTTTTAAATTTGTTTTTGATTTTTGCCATAGATGTGTGCGTTTGGTAGAGAGGAAAAGTGAGAAATCAGCCCCTAGGGGAGAAGGTCACGCCGCAGTCCCTTTTCCTCCATTCTACTCTCAGGATTTTGGGCATCCACACTCATGCCTGGCATGTTTTTCAAGCTGCCAGATCCAGGACTCAAATTGCTCAGTTGGTCATATGGGATCCCACCATCTTAGCCTCCATGCCACCTATTTGACCTGGTATAGATTGTTAACAGGATGGTGAATTCAATCTTTGCTATTCTTCCACAATTGAGGACAACAGGCTCTAGTTTTCCAGGGACAGCTTCTTCCTTCAGCTCGCTGTGAAGTACCAGCTTAGTATCAAGCACCAATGCCACTCTCTTCCCACCCACAATTTACAGAAGGTTCACACCACCACCCCCAGACTTAGGGAGAGACAAGAGGATCTTGTCCATTGCCAGGAGTACACTGTTTGAGTTCCCCCTCCTCTCTAAAGTAGAGGAGAAAAGGTTTTCTCTTTTTCCCAAAGCCCAAAGAGAGGATTCTGAATCACCCTTAAATATGAAATGTGCCTATAAAGTGGAGTAGACCATCTAATTCTCCAGCAGGATTCTGGCTCAGGGTCAAACCTTTGTATGTTCATCCTATACAGGAGTGGAGTATGGTGAGAGTGCTTGGAAAGGGCTTGGGGCTCTGAGAATCAAGGAATATACTAGTGTGATTTTTTTTTTACAGTACTTCTTTGTGTCTATGGGGGAAAGAATGTTTTCTCGTTCCATAAGTCCTTGAGGTTTGGGGGGCGGGGGCTGTATCTGGAGGTTCTAAAAGTAAGAGACCCTCTTTGAAAGACCATAGCAGCAACAGCAATGCTTGGTTGTAAGGCACTTGAGAAGCAGATTGGTCCAACTCTTTCTAATACCTGTTTTCTATATGCATTGTAGGACATATAATTCTCATGACTCAACATTTAGAGGCAGAAGACTTCTCTTTGCCCAGAGGTGTATATTGAGGTCAGTAATGATGTATTCAATTTCAAAAGGGCTTGGCAGGTGGAGTCAATAGGAGACGCTTTTTAAAAAATTTATTATTTTCATAGTCTTGTTTATATTACATTGAATCACACATATCTTTATAGTGTATTACATTTCTTTTCCCAGAAAGAATACCATGCATATCAGTCAAGACAAAGACATTACTATCCACATAATCATCATCAAATAGCTATTCATCATTTTTACAGATTATTATTACTTTTTTATTCTCATTATTTTTTAAACATTTGATTACTATATATCATTTTGCTTGTAAAAAGAATTTACCCAACATGAAATACTTTTCAGACCAGTCCAGTTGAGAATACTATACATGTTATCATCAACAGGTAATAAACCATTTCTGTGTCCCACTAATGTCATGTCCCTCTATTTATTCTCTTGATATCCTTCTCTACACTCTTCCCTTCTCTCGCCCCATTCCACATTGTCTTCAGCATCCTTAGCTATTTTCACTGCTTTTATGCCCTCCAATATTTTTATCTGTACAATAAAGTACAGATAGTTGGTATGTATTAAGTAGATACATACAATATCCTGGCTTGCTTCACTTAGCAAAAGAACCTCCATATCTGACCACTTTCTATCAAATGCCAAGGTCATGTTTTTTATGGCTAAATAGTATTCCATAGAGTATATGTGCCACACTTTTTCAATCCATTCATCAGTTTGTGGACATTTGGGTGAGTTCTGTGTCTTAGTGAGTGTGAATAATGCTGCAATAAACATTGATGTGCAAGTGCTTTTCTGACTGAGCATTCTCCTGTTGTTTGGATAGATACCCAGAAGTGGGATTGCTAGATCAAATGGTCATTCTATTTGTAGATCTTTGAAGAACTCACATACTGTTCTTTACAGTGGTTGAACCAGTTTACATTCCCACCAACAGTGTAAGAGAATTCCCCTTTCACCACATCCCTGCCAACACTTATCAGTTTATATTTTTAATCTTCGCCATTCTGACAGGGGATAGGTAGTATCTCATTGTGGTTTTAATCTACATCTCCCTTATGATAAGGGATGTTGAACATTTCCTCATATGCTTTTTGTTTTGGCTGTTTGTATGTCTTCCTTAGAGAGATTTTTATTCAGCTCATTTTCCCATCTTTTAATTGGGTTAATTTTTTTTTTTTTTTTTTTGAGTAAGCCGCTTGAGTTCCCTGTGTATTCTGGTTATCAGTCCCTTGTCTCAGGAATATTTTACAAAAATATTCTCCCATTCTAAGGACTGTTGATTCACACTTGTTACTGTGTCCTTCGTTGTGCAGATACTTCTTAATCTGATATAGTCCCACCTGTCTATTTTAGGGATTATTGCCTGTGCTTTTGGAGTCTTATTTAAGAAGTCTTTGCCTAACCCAATGTCAATAGGAGATACTCTTGTTCTTGGGAAGAGGCTTTGGAGCAATTTGAGTCTCCAGGTGAAGCTAATTAGTACCCCAAGTAAACCTCACTCAGTCAGCCTGTGAGTTGTCTACAATAGCCAATGGAGGCAGACTGACCTAGATAGAAGACAGAGTCTTGTTAATATTTAGGTGAAGAGGCCTCTGCACACACTTTCTTCTGAATCACCAAACCCAGAGAATCATGCCCAGGAAAGGAAGGGAATGGAGGTGTCTTAAATCTGATCATACTCCCCTACTCTCCACTCTCCAAGCAACCAGGTAGGAGGGGAGAGGGAACGCTTTGACTCAAGCACTAAGGACTAAAACCTAAGTACAAAACTAAGATTTTTCTAGGAAAAAAGAGTGACTAAAAAGTTAAGTAATCTGGCCAAGACTTTACTGAAGAAGTAACCATACATACCCCAATGAGTTGCAAATTCCGGTAAGTCTGGTGAGTGTGTGTGTGGGGGGTATGTGTGTGCATGCATTCCAATAATATGTAGGGCTAGGTTATTCATACCAACTCTCCTGTTGAAAAAAAAAAAACTAGAAATACTGGGTAAAATTTTTTTTAACTGTAAGAGTATGTAAAAGCTGACAAAGCATAAATAATTATCTGGTTAAAATCTAAGTACAAGAAGCAATTCTGAATGGCATGCCAAGAACAAAATCTTTGTCCTAAGAACATTTGTCTAAGCAGAAGAAAACAGCTGTCTCATTTACTGCCAATATAACAGGAAAGCAGGCGGGGCACCCAAACCTACCAATCTCGCTATAAAACTGAAATCTCAATGTGCTATGCACTTAGTGTAAAGATAAATTAGAAAATAGCTTCCTCTCCTGACTTCAAAATGAAGGGAAATGTGTAAGGTTCGCAGCATGGAGAGTTGAAATCATTGGGAACGTCTCGTGCTGCCTCCCATTGTTCCTAAATGCCTACAACATTGTACTGTTAGTGGGCAGAATCGAGATCATGGAAGTAGATGCTGGCACCATCCAGGCTAAATATTTTGGATTTGGATAACTTCTCATAATAATCACATTATTCCCCTGAAGCAACCTTTAAAAGAGAGAGACAGACATACCAGTCATACCTGTCAATTTTGATTGATCCCTGTTCAGTTCTGCAAGTCCAAAAGCTTTAAATACATACTACCTTTCTCTCTTCCATTAATGACAATACACTAAGGTCATGGAAAGCCCAGCACAGCATGTTCACATCTATTCCTTGGGAGCACTATGCAGGTTTTGATTTGTGTTTATTTGTCTGTGAGATCATTACTATCCCGCAATATAATGAAATTGTTCTGCATTAGCACCAGGCCTTCTCCAAACGAATTCACCAACCGGGAATGGACATTCAGCAGTAACAATTATTTTTGTGCATATCTCCTTAGTGACTTCTATGGACTATTTAACTTTCGTTAGAGGGCATAGTTTCATCTTGATAGCTTTTATTAAATCCTCCTTTTCAATCTCTTCCCGGGCTTTCATCATTGGTACCCAAAATAAAAACCTAATTTTTGGAATGGATGAGGTAGCATATGGCAATCTTTCTCTCTATGATTGTACCAAATCTTTGATCTCTGCAGTCCTTTCATGTGGGGTTTTTATATAAAACTGTCATTGACCTTGGAAGTACCAGCTGTCCTCTTGAAATATGAGGCTGGTAATGATGACACACAGCATTGATAATAACAAATGGTAGTTCATATTTCAGCTGAGTTTGGTTTTTATGTTCTGCTATTAGAATCAAAGTATTCGGTATGGATAGAAAATATTAAAATGTAATTTAACAGGCAGATCTCTTTATTTTTGGTACCAAGCATGATATCTGGAATTAAAACCTACAATGAGTCTGCTCATGAATCAGGTTAGTTCTGGCACTGGGGGTAGGAGACTCTTTTAAACAGAAGATTTGAAGTTCTTATTTGAGGAGATTATATTTTTATCTAGGATAGAGATAATTTCCCCCATGCTTTCAGCTCTGTCAGAGACTGTAAAGTAAGCTTACAAAAACTTGGACTCTTTTATAGCTTCGGATGAAAATTAAGCCAAATTAAGGACTACAAGTAGCTAACCAGGTAGTAAACAAAGTGAAAGAAACTTAGACAATTTAATTTAGCTTAATTTAAAAATTAAATTATTTTGACTCTGTTTTGAAATGCCTATCTTTGGTCAACTTTTGCCTTTTTAAGCACATTCTTTTATAAGTTTTCCCCTGGTCATTAAGACATGTTAAGGATAGGAGAAATGGGGAGCTAATGTTCAAAAGGTACAAAATCTCTGTCTGACAGAAAAAATAAGGGACTTTTAAAAATAGATTGATTGCACAGTGGTAAATAGTTAATAATAATGTACTATGCATTTCAAAATTTCTAAGAGAGTAAGTTTCAATGTTCTTACAAGAAAAAAATAAGTATTTAAGATGACAGACTTGATAATTAGCTTGATTTAATTATGCCACATTATATTTGGGATTCATAAGATCACTACATATCCTGTAAATACACACAATTATAAATTGACAGTGTATAATAACATTTAAAACTAAATTATATCAATTTACAATAAAATTTTAAAATAAATTTTTTAGGGACCAGCAGTTAGCGTAATGGCTATGTTGCTGGATTCCCATGTAGTCGACCGTGGTTTGCGTCCCGGACCCGATGGCTTAAACTCACGCCGGGCGCGTGTGCGTGTGTGCCCAGGATCCTGAGAGGAGAATGGAGGAGAAGGGATTGTGGTGTGTCCATCCCCCCTGGGGGTTGATTTCTCGCTTTCTATATCTCTGTCTCTCTCTGTCTGTCTGGCGAGCGCACGCGCCCTATAGCAAAAAAAAAAAAAAAAAAAACTCTCAAAAAAAAATTTTTTTTAAAAGAAATTTATATTGCCTTGAAAAGGTAATTTTTATGCCACAGGTATAAAGAGAAGTAAATTATAGGGGCCAGTAGATGGCATAATGGTTGTGTTGCTTGACTCTCATGTAGTTGACAGTGGTTCAAGCCCAGTACCTGGTGGCTTAAAATTCACACTAGGCACATCAGCGTGCATGCCCAAAATCTTGAGAGAAGAATAGAGGCAAAGGGATTGCAGCATGGCAATCCCCACCACCCACCACCCACCCCTGGGAAGTGATTTCTCTCACTTTCTGTCTCTCTGTCTGTCTCTGTCCCTCTGGTGAGTGCATGTGCCTTATAGCAAAAATCTTTCAAAAAAAAGAGGAGGAGTCTTGGGCACGCATGCACACATATCTGGTATAATTTTCAAGCGACCAGTTCTGGGACTCAAACATAGGACGGCCATGTGGGAGTCCAGTGATGTAACTATTATGCTATCTGCTAGCCCCACTTTTAAAATTTTTATTTATTTATTTACTTACTTACTTACTTTTATTTATTTATTTATTTATTTATTTTTGACCAGAGAGGTTCAGAGTGAGAGAGGGAAAGTGAGAAAGCAAGCTGCCAGTTCTGGGACTTGAACTGTAGTCAGCCATGTGGGAGTCTAGTGCCCTCAACCACCCTGCCACCAGATGACCCCTCTTTTTTAACTTTTAAAAAGGGACCTTCA